ATATATATATATATATATATATATATATATAACAGATTGCTAATTCAAGACAGGAATTTTTTATCAAGTATCGGCATACAGAGTGGATATCAATTACTCTAAGAAATTTTGAGAGTGATTCTTCATATATAAATTTAAGATGATAACTTCATATGATTATATGTCCGAAATAGCTTAATTTCAAAGATACTGGGTAAAAGTTGAAGGAAAAATTTTGTTTTTTCCAAAAGTTTTGATAATCACTCAAGTTATTTTGATAAAACTTTATGTATATATGTTTAAAATTTCATTAAAATAGTTTAAATGAAATTTGAAATTTTTGAAAAGCAAAATTTTTCTTTCAACTTAGACACATCTTATATTTTTGAAACTAAATATGTCGTTTTGAACATGGTCGTATAAAGTTTTCGTCTTGAATTTGCGTGAAGAATTACTCCCTAAAATATTTCAGAATATTTTATGGCTTCCCTGTATATTAATTTGAAGTGCAGGAGATTCTACGTTTATTGTTGTATATGCAATTACGAAAAAGTACACTCTTGGCGATCCAAAATAATACTTAATTGAGTGTTAACTCTCAAATAAACTTCCAACTTGAGAATTAACCCTCAATTTGAGTGTCATTTCAAATCGCCAAGAGTATATTTTTTCATAAGGAATCCACTAAAAATAGGATGTTTATACGTAATTTCTTATAAAAATATTTTTCTTACGCAGTAAGAAACACATGATTATTGTGGTCTATTATAATCTGTCCCAAGTAATTGGCTAGAAACATGTATATAATGCTTATAAAGATATATATAATCAGGAGAAAAAATTCGTTGAAATTACTTGTAGATGATGCTATCTGAAAAAACTAACAAACGTTTTTCATGAAAATTACTAATGTTATAAGTACATATGTATATACGTGTTGTAACTGCTAACTTATGAATACACAAGCTTTGCTTCTTGTGTTACAGCTAAGATTATGAGATTAATTGATATAGAAATGGATATGTATATATGCATATATATAAATGATATGTATATATATGTATGTGTGTATATATATATGTGTATTATATATATATATATATA